CTGCCGTGAGGCATGGAGCTGGTCAGTGTGGCCTTCTGCAGCTGGCGCTGGGTAGAGGCAGGGGGAAGAGGAACATTCTGTTTTTGAGGTGGCTCTAAATCCACTCCCCTTCTTGCTTACCGAGCACTCCACTAGCCCTCTCCCACCTCCACAGAGACACAAGCATTAGGGATGGAGGTTAGGACAGCTGTCCTGCATGCCAAGGACATAGGACAGGAAACTATTCCTTTGCCTTGTTTTGCCATCTAAAGAAAGGAACCTTGGGAGAAAGGGGCTGTTTGCTGTCGTGGTTTTAATATTTGGAAGAAGGAAAAGCAAGAATGGGGTTGAGTCTAGTATTTCTGAAAAAAAGGGGTGATTTCTGAGCTATTCCAAACCAGCAGGAAAGACAGGAGAGATAACCCCAATTTGTCCAAAGCAGGAAGCAAAGAGGAAAAGGAATTAAGAGTTGGAGATCATGATACAGATCAAGAGTTCTAGTGCTACCTGCTCTTCAGTGAGTGACTTTTCCTCATATTAAGTCTCTATGAAAACTGCCGTATGTCCACCGTTTCTGTAGTTGCACCGACCTCTATACTTCTATAATTTATGAGGAGTTGGGAATGTTTATTCTCCCATTGCTCCTCAACCTTAATGCAGTTTCCCCTACATTTGTTAACTCTCCAAGACCCTATTTTAAACTGGTCCTGCTAATTTTTGCATTCTCTCTGTCCTTGCTTCTGACCCCAGGGTTGGGATGAGGATGGGGTGAGGCATGTACAACGCTTTCTGGCTCCATCTTTCATTTCCTGAGCAGAGATGGGCTGCACTAATTGACCTCGAGGGTCTCAGCTGTGCTAAGTTGGGTGTTTGTTAGATCTCGTTAGGCTCGTAATTAGCGCAGGGAATCTAGGTCAGGGGCAATGGGTTGGAGTGATGGTCTCCTGGGACATGCATAAAGGTGGGGAATAGCAAACAGCCTCCCCACTCTGTGGGTAGGGTGAGCCTGGGGAAGGGAATGGTGGGATTCGTGTCACACACACAGAGAAACAGACACAGGATCACATGTGCAGAAAGGCGCTCAAACTCTGCTCTGTGTGTGTGTGTGTGTGTGTGTGTGTGTGTGTTCGCTCCTGCATTTACTCGGGTTTCCTTCCAACCTCTCCATATATGGTGCGGCTCTAGAGCAGGCTGGGGATTGGCTGCTGTTGTTGGGAGATTGGGAGGTAGGGAGAAAGCAGAAAAAGAAAGGAACCCAGCTCGGGGAAGGGAGTGCGAAGGGGGAGGGGTAGCCGAGCTTTGAGGGCTGCAGAATGAGGCAGGGTCTGCTTGCCTGCGGGATTTAGAGAGGGGCGAGATCCTTTGGGACTGGTTTCTGGGGAGAATGAGGGAAATGTACGGTTGGCAGAGGGTTGGGAGAGTGAGAGGGTGAGGAGGCAACAGCTATTTCCCAGGGCCAAGCTCTAGGCTCAGCGGCAGGGGTTGTGGGGGCTAGAGCAGGAGTTAGGGAAACGTGTTTTTCTCTCCTCACCTTCTCTTTTCACCCCAGGCAACCTGTGCTGTGGAAACATCCTGCAAATGCACTCGTCAGCGTGCCAGGCCGGCGCCTCGGACGCTCCTCCTAATGCAGGGAGGTCAGGACTGTGCGGTACCTTTCTCAGCACCCAGCTGCCTAGTTAAACAACTTGATGGTGACGAACAGGAAAAGTTGAGGAAAATGTCATTGAAACACGAATCAAGCATTTAGTTCTCTACCTGGCGCGACCCCTCACCCCATGTCACCTCTGTGTCCTGGATTTCCCCATCTCCCCATCCCAGGGCCTCCCAAAGGAGTTTCTCTTTTCCAGTTTATTTGGGTAAGAAGGGAATACAGCAAAGTTGTTGGGAGGGAGGAGGGGAGGAAGAACAAATGCGCCCTGAAAACCTCTGCCGGCAGCTGTGTAGGGAGAAGGTGGCCGCGCAGCCCGAAGCTCCAGTCCCCCCATTTATCACAAAGCCCAGTGACTGGGAGGAATAGGGAAATACTGCAGGTCAAGGGGCTGGAACGAAGGCGGGAGGGAAGAGAGGTGCTGGGAGGAGGGAGACTACAGTAACTGCATCACCATCCTCCTGCCATGGTGCCAAGGCTCAAACACGTACGCAGAGTGAACAGAAATCATGCTAGTAGCCACCGCAAGGGTATACTTTAAGCTGTTTTTCTAGTGGCTTTGTGCTAAGCTCTGGAATTCTTGAAGACCAGGGACCAGGCTTTTCTCCCTCTTTCTAGCTCTAGCCTTAAACACAGTACCTGGTGTGCTCTCTCCTCGGCAGAGAGGAGAGAGAAATATGGGCACAGCCTGTGGCCTGGATTAAGCCAAGTGACAGTGATTAACCTGTGCCCAGCCCTCATCAGCCTGTGCTCCCACCACCTGAGCCAGCTGTTCATTGCTCACTGAGTCAAACTCATAATCGTAGCCTCAGCAGCCGTCAACTGACTGACAGGCATTTTCCACACACTGTCCTTCCCCATCCAATGATGACTCTGCAGGTTGCAGATGAGAAAGCTTGTGCCTTGCCCAGGGCCTCAGCACCAAAAAGTCAGAGTTAGAATTTGAATCCAGGTCTTTCTGGTTTCAAAGCTGGGCTCATTTCACTTCCTTGTGGCCTGGATGTTCGAGCAACTGCTGGAGAACTGGAAACTGCTGGTTTTGGTGCCGTATGAGCCCAGGAGCACAGTGCCCAGCTCTTCTCTTAGTCTCCTGAGGTCCCTGATCTTTCTTTCTGTGTCCCTCACCTGCCATTCTCCTCTCCAGTGTCTCCCTCCATTTTCTGGCTCCCTTGGGAGCCACAGATAATTGGCATGTTGGGATACATACGTCATTCTTGCTTTTGTCTTTTTCCTTATTATGTGGAAACGACAAGGAAGAAAAAAAGAGAAAAGGGAAAATGCTGGTAAAATAAAATCTATACAAAGATACAGACTTACAAAAAGAAAGTCAGTCTAACTTTAACCCAGACCTTCAATATTTGTGACAACAGGTGGCTCTGCTGACCATGCTTGGAGTTTTGGAGAGTGAAGCCAATTTGGAGGACAGGAAACCTAGGTCCTCTCACCTCACACCCCAGGAGACCTTGGGGATGACAGTAAGGTGGCACTCTCGTGCACTTTCCGTCACTCATAAGGATACTTGCTCCTCAGGGAAGAGACGAGTTAGATAACTACTAGATCTAGGCCAGATCTGGGGGAAATCGTGATGGCAGTGAGTGGTAGGGCACTAAAGAGAGCAAGAATCCCTCCTTCCTTAGAGATGGTTAACACATTTAACTGCCATGTGAGTTGTATTTAACTCAGGCTAGTTTTGAGCCCAGGGCCTGGTGAAGCAAAATCCTGCAGTTGGTTCCTGAAAATCTTACTTGTTGATGTTGTTACAATTAATATCGACAATTTAATTCTAAAAATGTGAATTGCATTGCCTCTAACTCATGCAAACAATAAAAAAAACAAATTAGAAAGGATTGTTTTAATAAAACACCGTGGCCCCAGGGAAAAAAATTTTCTAGTGTGGCAGTCAATGTGTTAAACTAGGAGAGATTTCCGCATCTTCCTTATGTGGGCTGTAGGAGTAACGTTGGAGTAGAAGAATGGGAATTGAAGGGTCTGTTTGTTACTCCTGCAGGATTTTCCTTGTCTCCCTCCTACCCCACTCAACATTAGGGCAGCCTCTACATGCATTCGTCCCCATTTCCTCTCCCTTCTCCCCTCACTCCTAGTGAAGCTCTAGGCCTCGGCTCTTAAGAAGTGAGAGGAGATCTAGGGAAGAGGATCAGGAAGCTAGCAAGGGATATGCTTCTAAGTGTTTTTTTTCACCCCTCATTTACTTGACTGATGAAGTTCTCTGTCCCCTTCTTTCCAAAAATCATTCATGTCTTGCCTTCACAGCTCTTCTCTGGACCTGATCACTGTTATTACACCTAATCTTAGAAACTTCAGAAGAAAGAAGCACACAAAGTAAGATGACCTGCGTAGAACCTGCCATAGACAAGAACACAAGGAGGGCTGGCAGCCCCAGAGGTGTTTAGGAAGGATGGCGGTATGAGCACAAGGATGTTTTTCTGAAGCTGGGGCTTGATTAGTGTTGGAAGAAAGATTTGAGGAAGGAGAGGGAGAGGCTACAGGAAACCCTAGCTTGGCCGAAAGAGGAACCTGGACACATGTTTGGTTTTCCCCTTCATCCTACCCAGCTTGCATCACAAAATCAGTTTCATTCTTAGTTCAGTTCTTCCGTGGGGTCAGCTGTCTCTAGTTCCCCTTGCTAGGTCCCCCAGTCAAATAACCAAACCAGTCCCATCCATCTAAGGTTGTACCTTTGAATAAATGTTGGGAAGGGTGTGGAACATGAAGAGAAAAAACACCTCAAATAAGAAAATCCAGGCAGCTCGATTTCCCTCAGAGATTGCTGTGAGTGCGAAGCCAGCGTCTGGCTGGGGAGGCTAATTCCACACATCCTCCTCAAGGCTGGGGCAAATTTCACTTCTCCTATGTGCATGGAGTCGGCGCTGGCCTCCACATCCCTAGCTAGAGTTGGGCAGCTCAAATTTCACCCACAAATAAACCTGGACTGGGTGCAGTGGCTCATGCCCGTTAACCGCACTTCGGAAGGCTGAGGCAGGAGGATTGCTTGAGTCCAGGAGTTTGAGAAACACCTGGGCAACACAGTGAGACCCTGTCTCTACAAAAAATAAAAAGACCCCTGTAAACTTGGAAAGGGACATAAGAGAAAACCTCCCCTGTTGCCCTTTCCTTCTAAATTTAGAAGCCTATAACATGCTGGGGAGCAGCAGTGCGTTTCCCATTATGCCGTAAGGTGGGCGGTGTGTGTGTGAAATGGTCAGACTGTGTCTTTATTTCCCTTTCTCTTTGTCCAGGTGGAAGCTTCTCAATACTGCTATAGCGGTCACCTCCTCAAATCTGAGGTGGGTAAGAAAGGAAAAGTGGGTCGGGAAAGAAGGGTGGTAGGGGTGTCAGGCATCAGCAAGAGCAATGAGTTTGTGTTTTGTTTTCTTTTTTTGTTGAGGTAAATAAAAAAGCTTTATCCTGCAACACTTGGAGATAAGAGTCTGTCCACCACCCCCCAAGTTCCAGAACCTGTCCCCGTCCTCACATCAGGCTCTTCCGGTGCTGACTGTGCGGGGTGGTCTGTCTGAGGTGGGAGTCGGGGCTCTGCAGGTCCATCTGTCTGTACAGGTCTCTCAGCTCCCTGACCTCCTGCAGCACCCTCTTCGCCTGGCTCCAATTTGAGGACGCCTCTCCCAGCAGCCGCTCTGTCTCCAGCAGCAGCTGCTCTGACTCAGAGTCGGGTGGAGACCGAGGGGGGTCCTTGGCCTTTCGCTTCCCATCTCCCAGTCCCTGAACCTCTGCCAGCAGCTCCTGAGTCTTCTCCAGTTTCCTTGCTACCAGGTCCTGGATCCGGGACAGCTGCCCCGGGTGGGGTAGGGTGGAGGTTGGGGGTTTCTCATCCTGCAGTTGGAGGGTGTGGGCTGGGGCAGTGTCCCGCTGAGACAGAATCTCCTCCAGGGAGGCACAGCGGCCTTTCTCTGTGGGGGTCAACTTCTTGGGTGCCTGGGGGGTGTAGGTGGCCCCCTTGTCTGGCTTTTCCCAAGGCCGGGGAAGGCTGCTTGCCCGGTCTGAGGAGGGCTGGATACGGTCTGAGTCTGCTCTCCGCCGGCTGCTGGCCAGTTGGGCCACAGACTTGTCCAGGTCAACCCGAAAGCTCTCAGCACAAGAAGTTGGTTCCTCAGGGGAAGAGTCTTCCTCTTGGATCAGGTCCAAGGTCAGCATCCCATCCGAGGTAGAGGTCGAAGCCTGGGGAGTAAAGAGGGGAAGGAAGGAGGTAAACTGTCTGAGAGAGGAATATAAGTTGTGGTCATTCTTTTCTCAACACACTGTCCCTGAGTGCGAAGCCCTCCACTCTTGACTGGGCCCTTCTACTTAATTTGCTATTTATTATTCCTTTGATAGTGATTTGAGCTTTTCTTTCTTTTATTTTTCTGTGATTGCATTTTCTCCTGCTTTGTTTCCCACATTCCCCACTTTACTACACACTTTCTGAGGAGCGTCTTCTTCCTCTGTACCGAGCATCACTCTGGGTTTGACACCACAGGTGCTGCCCATGGACAGTGACTGTCCTCTTCCGTCTGCATCTCCTGAGCCACACGCTTCAGCCCCCTTTGCTATGGGGAACTCAGAACCCCTTGCCTCATGGTACAAACTTGTTCTCTTATTTTCAGAATACTATAAAAAGAGATGAGGGTAGTCAATACTTCATATGAAATTATACGTATGTTGTTTTAATAATTTCTTACAGGAATCCATGAAGGCAGGCATGATTATTGCCCCATCTTACAGTTGGAGACATGCAGCTTCAGGGAACCACATGGGTAGTTAACTGCAACATGAGGCTCCAGCTCGGGTTCTCCCTAACTCTAAAGCCTATGTTCTTCCCACTATAGCTGACTGCCTCTCTCTCTGGGAACTTAGAGCTTGGTAGAATGAAAGAAACCACTACTCTGTATGTTACAGGGGTTCACTGTGATCCTTCCTCCTCCGAATGCCTGTGGTACTTGATGCTGTTGGCCATAGGACAGTCAGCCACCAGACAGCAGCTTACACTGTGTGGCACAGTCCTAGACCCTTCTAATTTCACCTTCCTCTGGGTATAAGTCACTTTCTCCAAAAGATGATAAAATTATTGAGAGAAGAAATTTTTGAACTTATAAGAGGTACGGAATTAATATTTCTGACTTAGATCAGGCAGGGGTGTGGGGTGGAGGGACTTTCCTAGCCTTCGATCTTGGCATCGAGGGGGACTCCGACAAAGGTGTCTGGTGGTATACAGTTCTGTCCAAGATGCACTGACACAGAATTGGCCCTTTGGAAATCTTTACTTTATTATAGTTTTACATACCACGGCCATTAGGTGTCCCCTAGTTGGGGGGCGGCGGGAGTGTTGGATTTTTGCCCTGTCTCGAGTGGGGTGGGCGAGATAGCTGTCTTCCTCAACGGTGACCTGAAGAGACACACTGTGAGTCATGGATGTTCTTCAGAGACCTCTGTCCCAACCCAGCAGCCCCCAAAGCTTGAACATGCCTGGACTGGGAAATAAACCCGCCCCATTAATGGCTTCTGAGCAAATCCATGGGCAAAGGGATTTAAAGGACATGAAGGGGCTCCTTAAGCTGACCCAACACTACACTGGCTCATGCATCATGAAGGAGGGAAGAGGAGCTGTCAGAAGAGACTTAGAGAGAAGGCGGAAGGAGAATAGCGTTTTCAAAAGGGAGATAAAGAAGTAGAGCTGGTGGGGGGCACATCGGGGGGGCCCTCCTGCACCGTAGCCCTCCCTCTTTGGTGCATCACAGCCACTCCCTCTGCCCAGCACCCTCTCCCCACAATGAGCCCCCGACCTCGTCCAGGATGCGGTTCTTGGCTCGGGTGATAGCGGAGTTGAGGGCACTGATCCATGATTCCTTCTCTTCTGGACTCACTGCCAGGAAGATCAGGTTGGGGGCCTGTGAGGGGAAGATTCTTGTTTCAGCCAGGGTTTTAGAGTTGGTGCCTCACCTTGACAGTGAAGAAATAAGAAATTATAATCTCATTCTCTCAGATCCAGCTCCTGGAAGGAGAGAGATTCTGCTTCCAGAGTCATCCATCACTTCAGGAAACCCAGCCTCTATTTCTGCAAAATGTATAGCTTGGAGGTTGTTTTAGAAATGACCAACGAAGAGCTAAGAAGAGTATTGGTACTGGAAATAAGTAGAGGAAGTATGATAAAGGACAGTATTAAAATAAAAATCTTTAAATGTTTGAGGAAATAGAATGTGACAGGAATAGTTTCCCTGGGTTCCTTCAGACAAGAGAAAGTAGATTTAGAACTTCAACCAGCCATCAGGGTACACAGACCAGTGATTTTCTCCCAAGTGATGTACGTGTGCACACGTGTGTATGTGTGTGTGTGTGTATCTGTGGGAGAGAGAGAGAGAGATATGATCTCTGTGGCTGAATAGGTTGAGGGCTGACCTGCCTAGAGGGAAGGAAATGGCCACAATATTCTCAGGTTAAATAATAAAAGCCAGCAGGAGAGCAATTCAGGGCCTTGAGCCAAGACTGCTGAGAGAGAGAATCTGAAGGGGAACTTCTCCCCTGCCCAATGTCCCAGTGGCCAGGGTGGCAGGAGAAACATACCGTGTTGCCGGGCTGTTTGGAGTGGGCAAGAGTAAACTTGCTATGGTTTTTCTTGCTCCTGCTCTTGGATTTCCGGAGCTCTTCACACTTCTCATAGTCACTCAGGTCAAATACCTCTTGAATATTTTTCTCATCTTTTACCTAGGGGAGGGTTGGGGGTAAGGTGAGGAGGATAAAATCACTTAGCCCTTCCCCCCAAATTGTTAGTTTAGATCATCTTGGGAACGAGAAGCCTGAGGAGGAGGAGGGAAGACAGCACAGGAAAGGCCATGGTACCCAAAGGCTATGAAGGCCTGACGTGGGTGACAAGACTGGGGCAGCCCCCATGTCCTGACTCCTCAGGTGGGTTCTGTTTAAACCCTATCCCCATTCTCCTCAGCCAAGCTACCATTTCCAGAGCCCTAAGATGCCTCTCTTCACCCATGGCCCCCACTCTGTTCCTAAAGTACATAGCTCATGTCCTAAAAAGGCTCATGTTCTTAAAGGGACATGGTGAATAGGTTTATCCAATCATCCTGAAGCAAGAAAGACCTGGATACCCTTGATGGTCCAGAGGAAGAAGACAAAGGTGGGGCCAGTATCGGGGCACATCTGGAGGGAGTGAACGGCTGCCTCCGGCCTCCCCAGTCACATGTAGTTCCTACCCCTCCTTACTCCCACCAAGGTACTGTGACAATCCAACCTAATCCTCCAGACATGAAAAGCCATTTAAATTATCCACCTATCTCTAGGCAAAGATGCACTTAGACTCTCCCTGGATGACTGAAACTTCAGACTTAGAAGTGTAGTCTTCCAGGGAGTCCTCTGTTATCTCTTTTCATTATTCCAGTTTGAATGCCTGAGTCCCTTTATTGCCAGGAAGCTCTTCCTTGTATCTAAGCTTAGCCCCTCGTGCTGTAGTATCTGTCTTGCACTCTGCTTCTACCTTTAGCAGCTTCAAGCAACATTTGGCTCTTAATACTTTTGCTCAATGTCTAATCAGAGACCACTATTCTAACGACATCATCCAACCTCTACCAGCCTTTTCTGAGCATCAAAAAACAAATTCTATTAACATTCCTTCAAAGTTCCATTTTAAACTTCTCAGAATTTTGTTTCCTTTCCCCTAAGGTGGTATTCTCTGTAGCTCTGGTACCCTGAGTAGATGTGTCTTGGCTTGCAAGGACCAAAGTTACAGAGGAGAGACTTAGTTACTGGTTCCAGATGGAGTGGCCCATTCACCCTCTGCTACGTGAGCCTGGGGCTGGAATACCCCAGGAATGAGTTGGTCATGTTTTTCTGGGACAAGAAATGAAAACCAGGCCGGGCGCGGTGGCTCACACCTGTAATCCTAGCACTCTGGGAGGCCGAGGCGGGTGGATCGTTCAAGGTCAGGAGTTCGAGACCAGCCTGAGCAAGAGCGAGACCCCGTCTCTACTAAAAAATAGAAATA